AATTTTTTAAATGCTAATCATTTTTTATCCTTGTTTTTTATTGTTTTGTAAAAAGATGGTACAAGCTCTTATTTGCGATCAAGTTTGGATCAGAACAAATTGGCGGAAAACAAGGATGGTTGTGGAAGAAATTTTACTAGATTTGCACACGGTGGAAAAAGGTAAATTTCTTTAAATTTGCAAATTCATGATATAAAATTGGATTGCCTAATATATTTTAAGTGTTGAAATATAGCAAATTTTTATATACTATATTTTGCAAAACTTGTGGGCGTAGTGCCTATATCCTACTATGAGTATGAATAATACTCCCTCCATATTTTAAAGTTTGCTACACTTTCTTTTTTGGGATGTATGTAAAAGTTTGCTACACTTTTCTTTTGGGATGTTTGTAAAAGTTTGCTACATTTTCCCTTTTTGATAAGTTTTTCCTATAAAAATACTAATTACCCTTACTTTTTCTACTTTTCATCTTCTCTTTCATACTTTTGCTCACTCTCCTACTTTTTCTACACTATTCATTACCCCTACTATTTCTTTCTTAAATAATGTGCCCAATGCTATTGTAGTGAACTTATAAATACGGAGGGAGTAATAGGTTTGTTTTTGTAGATGTGGAGGAGGTAAGTTGTATCCCAGAAGAGCTGGATTATGTTGCTTAAAGACGCAAACTTTAATAATCGATAATCATCTTGTTGTAAAGCTTATACTTTATGTTGCGTTTTTGAAATTTTAGACATGTTATTTATGTTTTGCAATCTTTTGGATCTGATACTTATGCTCACATAATTTTGAGATTTTAGACACATTATTTATGTTTTGCAATCTTTTGACATTGGTAGTTAAGTAGTATATTGTCCAATAATTCAACGTCCAACAAGCGAGTTTAGTGTACTAGTTTTGGTTGAAAAATTCAAAACCAGTTTAGCCAGACCAAGTCTGATTTTAAACTAATTTTACTGCTTTGGTTCCAGTCCATAATCAGATATATATCGAGGCGGTTGTTGGTTTTCATTTTTGGCCAATTCCGGTTCCGGGTCCGGTCAATTTCGATTTTGGCCCGGTGCACAGTCCTAACCGTGACAACATCATTCTTCATGCACATCAATAGCGTAAACGTCCACGCCTACAATGACATTCACATGACTTTGATGATGATGATGATGCCGATGAGCATGAAGACTTGTAGCTTATCACCATTACGTTTTTTATGATAATGGTTTATTGGTTTTCTTTATTTATGAATGTTTGCATTGTTACCACTTTTGTAAATCTTTTGAAATACCGTACTTATTTATATTTGCTCAACTGTACCATTATGTTTTGTTTTGAAAAATTCACATTATTGCAAATTATCGAAATGGTTAATGTTCTGTGGGGTTACTTTGATATCATGTTGTCATTCTCCGAGATCTATATGTGATGTCTGGTTGATGAAGAATGTCTACTGTTGTCTTGTTGTGTGCAGATGCTACTTCAATGCTTAGAGAATAGGGCAAAGTAGGGGTGGGCATAAAAAAACCGTAACCGGATAACCGCGGGAAAAAACCGAAAAACCGCTATTTCTCCGGTTAACCATACCAACTTTTTAGTTATTATCGGTACAATTAACCGATGAAATGAAAAACAGTTTTGATGGTCGGTTTACCATTTTGGAATCATATTCCATCGGTTAACCACTTAACCCTCCCAGCCCCCTCCCACATCCCACCAGCACCATCCCCAGCCTCCAAGCCATGTACATCCTCCAACCCCTGCACAAGAGCTGCCCAACACCACACCCCGCTGTAGCCCTTCAACCAGCACATCCCACCACTGTACCACCGCCCCAACGCAACCTTAGCCAACCCATCGAACTCTCCACCGCCTCCATCTCCAACACCAGCGTTGCCAGCACTCAATCGCGATCTGAAATCGCTCTGATTACAGCCATTTTCCACATTTGGATTCGTCACCTGCGGCGATTGAGAAAGAGAAGAAAACAAAAGGTGAACGCCGGAACAGCGGTGACAACATGCGATGCAAACGGGGTGGAGATTTACAGTGAAGATTTGGCGGCTTGACAGAGAAGTAGAGAAATGGCGGTGCAGATCTGATGTCGTCTTCGCTGTTGCTGAGGTCGGCCTGAGGTGTGGTGGCATCGCTGGCGTGGAGGAGGTTTTGAGGAGGAGGAGGCGTCTGCCATGGTAGAAGAGAGAGGCGAATGATGTCCGAAGGAGGAAGATGGGAATTTAGAGCGGTGAGATTTCTGGAAAAATTAAAACGGGCCATATATTTGTCCTCTTAAAGTGCATAGATAATATCTATGCCATTACTTCGTTTTTATATTCTCCATTTATTCTGTTCGTTCTTTTTCTTTCACATCATTTGATTTTTGGGTCTGACATTTTCATACCATTCCATATCAACACGTTTAACTTCAGATTAGCTGAGAATGAAAAATAAAATGAAAAGTGAAAGAAATAAAATGAATAAAAGGAAAGGAAAGACTGAATTGAGTGGAACAGAGGCAAGAGAACAAAAAATGAGATGGCAAATGGATTATTGGAAACCTTTTGCTCGTAGTTAATCAAACTTGTAATTCATTGTCATTTACTCTAGGGTCACCCCTTTCAATTGGAGGATCAAAGTATTATTCAAAAAATAGATCGATTGGGTAGAAGCAGGTGAAGGCCAGACTCAGAAACACCAAGGAAGAAAAAATAATGGTAAATTACTGGAATTTCATTTGAGGATGACTGGCGGCGGTGGGTGAAGTTGGGCTTGCGGCAGAGCTTGGTGAAGACGAGAGACGAACTCGCTCGCGAACATGGAACGGACAAGCATCTAGGCGGCAGCATACTTGTCACGGCGGTAAGGCGAGTCGCGGCGCCAGCCGACCGCCATATCGCCTAGGCGACAAGGCGCCCGCCTAGGCGACAATTAGGCGACCAGTCACACATTATATAATATATATTATATTTCATATATATATATATATTTGAATGTATTTAATTTGCAATTTATTATATATTATATACTACGTATGATATATTACTAATTAAATTGTATATTACCTAGAATTGAAAGCAACAATTAATAAATGGAAAATAGGTTTATGTATGCATGTATATATAAAAAAAATCATTCGACTATGTGTACAACTTAATTAATTAAACTACTTTAGTGGGTATACTACTTAGTGCTTAATTGCATATAAAACATACGGAGCACTAATATACTACGGAGTAGAATAAGAAGTATATAGACATAAAGTGATAAGTGAAGAGCCGCTAAAATAAAAGGCTGGAGAAGAAGCGAAGGTCGTCTTCAACCTTGCGACTTAGGATCGCAGGTTGTCTTCAACCTTGCGGCGCAGGATAAAGCAGCAACTGCAGGTCGTCTTCAACCTTGCGACAGAGGCACACATAAGAGAAGTAGCGTCTGTGTTTGGGAATCGTTGATTGACCTTCAAATTTTGAGAGTTGATGATTGTCCTTCGGGTTTGAGACTCTCAAAAGGCTTCAGTTCCTAAATTTCTACTTTCTAAATCATATTTTGGGCTGGGCTTCTAAACTCGAATTTATTGAGAATTTGAGATTTTAATTTCCCCTGGCGTGCGCCTAGACTGCGCCTGGACGACATGTCGACGCCTGGACGACGCCAGGAGCGACTTATCTTCTTCTGGCGAGTCGATCTCCCATGTCGACCCTTCTCCATCGCCAGGACGCCTAGTCGGCGCCTAGGCGACGCCTAGTCGACGCCGTGACAACCATGGGCGGCAGCAAGGCTTGGAGCGACAACGCTAAGCAGATATCCAACTGAAATGGCTGGCTCGAGTAAGTGAAAGGTTAACTCTTGAGGGACTGGTTGCATAGAAAAGGCAAGAGATTGGTGGTTCATACAGTCTGGCAGTGAAGAGAGGAACAAGGAGGAGTTGACCGAATGAAAAAAGAAAAGGAAATGTAAAAGAAAAGAAACAAGAATTATGATGCCAACTAAGGGGCCACGTATGCAACTTGACTAGGAAACCGGTGAGAGACCGACTAAAACGCCATTTTGATTGTTTTTATAGGGAAAACTGTCAAATAGGTCCTCGAACTTTCACAAAAAGGTCAATTAAGTCCTTCTATAGGATATTTTGTCCGGCCGTCGCGATTTGGGGCAGTTCCCGATGAAATTTTTTGATGAAATTTTTTGAGCATCTTATTCACTAAGTCTAGTTTACTCATACCAAATTTCAGCTAAAAATTCAATTGAGAACACATTCAAATTAATTCTTGAAGATAACTGCGCATTTATGCGTTCTCGAATTAATTTGCATGCGCTCTCGATTAAATTTTTAGCTGAAATTTGGTATGAGTAAACTAGACTTGATGAATAAGATGTTCAAAAAATTTTATCAAAAAATTCCACCGGGAACCGCCCCAAATCACGATGACCGGACAGAGTCTCTTATAGAAGGACTTAATTGACTTTTTTATGAAAGTTTGAGGACGGACCTATTTGACAGTTTTCCCTTTTTTATAAGATGATGGGTTTGATTGACTAATTATTTAGTACAAGCGCTTGATTGACTTTTTCAAGACTTATTGGACAGTTTTCCCTTTTCATAGTATATATTTTTCAATAATAATAATAATAGTAGTACCACTAAAAAATACTCGTATAAGTAAAGAGCCTGTATGATAATCTCTATTTTCAGCTTATAAACCTTATCCATCAACGGTCTTTACCCACACATAGTTTTGTAATTCACATCCTAAATTCTGTAATTCTCAAAATAAAAAAGGTTATAATTATTTTTCGAATTGAATTGAATGAAGTTCTTGTATAAGAGTTTAAAACAATTGTAACTATTTTTTCATGTAATTTTTCATCTTAATGTTATTAATAAAATATACATTAAATATATTTTTTCATAATTCACTCATTTTAGCTGCCTAAGTCAGTTTCATGAATTTTAGCCTTACCAAACAAGCCCAAAAGTTGAATTATACAGTTGCAGCGAGAAATTATACCTGACTATTGCAGTGGATTAGCATCATCTTCAGCTCCGGCATCCCAATCGCAGAACTCCTTCAATTTATCTCCCATTTCTATGCCTCGTTCCTTCATCTCCTTTAAAACTACCTTCACATCTTCATATCTCCTCCGATGGATCATCTTCATAGCCAATGTCCCGAAATTCTCGTAATCCAGATTTGCATCCCTCCCTGCATAGACCTTCACAAACTCCAGCGCCTGCGCGTGGAAGCCCAGCCTCACCATCGACCCGATAACGTGGGCATGAGTTGAATACAACGGCGGCATCCCCTCCTCATCCATTCTTCTCAGTACCTTCAGCGCAACATCTACTCTGCCTGCCCTGCACGCGCCTAAAACTAGCGCGTCGTACGTCCTAGCGTCCGATCCCAGCTTCTCCTCTTCCAATTTTGTTAGAATTCCGGCCGCAGTGTCCAGGTCTCCGGCGCAGCAATGTCCGGTGAGAAAATAGTTGTAGGCCGTGAGATCTGGTCGGACATTCAAATCCTTCATCACCTCCACCACGCGCCAGGCCTCCTCGAAGTCTCCCCTCTTGATGTGCTCCTTGAGAATAGGGTGGAACGTGAGGGCGTCCGAGCCGTATCCGTTCCGCACTACGATCTCGGCCACGCGCAAGGCCTGGGGCATGTGCCGGAGCTTCGAGAGGCGGGCTACGAGGCAGTCGTGCGCGCTCTTCCTAGCGAATCGCTGGTTTATGCGAGCAATTGTGGCTAGGAGCTCTTCAAGCATTGAGATGTCATGTGTAACGAACTTGAAGGTGTAGTTGGTGTTGAACAAGCCATCTTTTCCTCGCTTCTCAAGGAGGCGTTTGACAGCGTCGAAGTCTCCACTCCGTCCGGCGCTGTTAATGAGGTGGTCGTATCTGGACGTGCTCAGTGTCTCCGGCGGTTTGCCGGCGACGGACGAGCTTGCGGTACACAACGCACGCAGAAATGGCGAACATTTTGGGGTTTTGTGGAGAAACTTGTGTAGGGAAAGCATTTGTAAAGCAAAATTACCTGAAGGCAAATCTGAAGTCCAAGGGTTGCACTTGAGAAGTCCTGGTTACATTTGACCCAAATCGGAGTTAAATCTTGAAGCCCAAAATGAGGCATATTAAAATTATTTTTGGTGTATTCACTTTGTTATTTAAAATTTCTTGTTTTAGAAATTTTATTATTTAAATTTTAAAGGTTGTGAAGTTTGTGTGACAATAACTTTTCCCTGAAACATTTTATTTTACTTAATAGGTAGTAATAAAATGTTTTCAATTTGTCCTACTAATTTGTTTTGTACGAAATTAATGTAAAGCGCAGGGCAATGCTCCGGTAGTGCGTCAATTTGATACGGAGTATGAGTTAAAATGAAAAATATGGATCCAAAGTTTAATATAAGGGAAAAGGTACATGTATACCCCTGTAGTATAGGTGGATGAACAAATATACCCCTGTTTTATTTTTCGAACAAATATACCCCTGAACTTTTAAAAAAGTGCAAAAAAGACCAAAAATAATTAATCAAATTAATCAAATAAATTTCAAAAAAGACCAAAAATAAATTAATAAATCAAAATTAAAAAATAAACATTTTAAAAATGTAATTATGTCCATTTCTCCCTTTATTGTTTTTATATCACAATTTAATATTTTAAGTATAAAATATTATTTCAAAATATGTAATTTTATAGTGCAAAGAATGCAAAAAATTAATTTTTCTCTACATTGCAAAACATATGTTGCACCTTTTCGAAAGAATCTTAAACATATAGTAAAATTTTGAAATAATATTTCATGCTTAAACAATATTAAATTGTGATATAAAAAATATAAAAGGGAGAATTAGACACTATTACATTTTTATTTTATTTTTTAAATTTCGAATTTATAATTTATATTTGGTGTTTTTTGAATTTTTTTTTATTAATTTAAAGTCAATAAGGATTAGTTTGCTCCTTTATAAGAACATGAGGGATATTTTTGCACCTTTTTAAAAGTTCAGAGGTATATTTGTTCCAAAAAAATAGAACAGGGGTATATCTGTTCCCACACCCACACTAGAGGGGTATATTTGTACATTTTCCCTTAATATAATGCCTTTTTACTTTGATCCAACCACAAACAATAATGACTATATATTAAATTATCATTCATCATATATTATATTTGGGAAAAGTGTCAATTAGGTCCCTGTACTAATGAGAAAAAGTCAATTGGGTCCTTTAAGTAATCTTCGAATCAATTGGGTCCATGAACAGCAAAAATTTAATCAATTGGCCCATTTCAGCGGTAACCAGCCGGTGTTCCAGGTTCCGCTTACGTGGGTGTCCACGTGTCTATTCCCTCTTAGCCACTTATTTTCCACGTGTATTGTGAATTTTGAAGTAAAATTTTCCACACCAGCGTTTTGTTATTTTGTTTTACAAAAACAATTTGTTCGTCGTTCACCACACGAGCTTCTTAGCAGCGGCCACTAAATCAACCCTACCTTCTCCAGAAATGCGGTGAAAGATACAATCGAGAAGTTCTTGAATCGGGAATTCAACGTCCATCCCTGTTCTACGGGCCATGTAAGTGTTATTATGCTAGGTTATAGTTTAGCAATCTCTAAAAATTGGGACTTGTAAAAATGTTTGACTACCGTTTAATTATTTAGGGTTATTCTGAGTTGTATGAATGTCGTACAGAACGACTTAGGTTAGTTTTGCAGTGCATGATTTTTGATGAGTATGTGTTTATTGGGGCCGCCGAACTGAACATGTTTTTGTATTTGTACAGAATGTTTGACACTGTGGAGCTCATAATACATCATGGAGGGAATTTTCTTACAGTTTCTGATAGTATGTACATAGGTGGTCAAGTAGAATGCATTCCAGTTGATCCTGGCCTGATATCCTTTCCCCATTTAATGAAGTCTTTAAAAACTGGAAGCTACGGCAATATTAGAGGACTCTACTTCAAAAGACCAACTGACCCTATGGAGATGCTTCACCACCTGTTCAATGATGAATCAACACTACTGTTGATAGATATGGCTTCAAGTTGTGGCAAGTGTGACATCTATGTGGACCATGGTTTGGATGAGGTTGAACTCGTTGATGTAGTTCTCCTTTTACCAGCCCCAACTACAGTGCTTGAAGAAATTCAAGTCAATACAGAGGAATGGATGGGTGCTGCAACCTGTCACATGGAAGTAGATTCTGAAGGTGAAGCTCAAGGTGATGACAGTGAACCATACATGGAAGTAGATTCTGAAGGTGAAGCAGAAAAGGAAGCAAGTTCTGAAAGTGAAGCAGAAGGTCATGATGAACAAAGACAATTACATGAAGCACATATCAAGGATGTTAGAGACAAAAGTGCAGCAGGAATGGACACACTAGACACTGATGAAGATGTAGATAGTGTGGAGTATGATTCATCCAATCCTCCTACCTATGTAGTGGATGAAAATGAATATGAAGATGATGGTAACTCTAAAAGGCCAAAAGTGATGCATGCTTCCTATGATCCGGAGTCTGATCCTCCTAATATTGGTTTGGGTATGCTCTTTGAGGGTGTTAGACAATTCAAGAATGCCATTATCAAATATGCGGTGGTCAAGAACAAGGGTTTACGTTGGGTGAAAAATGATTCTATAAGAGTTAGAGTAGAGTGTGTCGATACATGCCCTTATGTTTGCTATGCTAGTTGGGAAGACAGTCTGAAGTGTTTCCAAGTCAAAGTCCTTAACACTGTACATTTGTGCAATTCGAAGTTTAAGCTTAACATAGTGAGTCGAAAATGGATTGCAGAGACATTTGAGGAGAAGGTTGCACAAAACCCTGCCATGGGTGGAGTTGAATTAAAGAAACTTGTGAAAGCTGAACTGAAAATCCATGTGTCTACTAGTATGGCTACAAAGGCTTTGAGGGACATACACAAGAAAATCCAGATTGATTTTAAAGACCAATTTAAGAAATTGAGAAGTTATGCTGAGGAGTGTTTGAGGTCTATTCCAGATTCCACTGTCAAAATTCACACTGTCAAGGTTGTCCCAGAAGCTCCTGCAGTTTTTCAAAGAATGTATATCTGTCTTGGTCCGGTAAAGCATGGTTTTCTTGATGGCTGTAGGAAGGTAATAGGATTAGATGGATGTTTTTTAAAAGGTCAGTTGAAGGGTGAGATTCTAACTGCTGTAGGTAGGGACGCCAATAATCAAATGTACCCAATCGCGTGGGCTGTTGTTGAGATAGAGAACACCTCATCCTGCTCATGGTTCTTAACTCTGTTGAAGGATGATTTGAATATTACTAGTCCACAAATGTGGACTATAATCAGTGATCAACAAAAGGTGTGTACATGTCATTAACTCATCCTGACCTATAGTATTATATGATTTCTTATCTAACATGTTATGTGATTTATGTATTCTTCACGTACAGGGGCTATCAAATGTTATTGGTAATATCCTCCCAGATGCTGAGCACAGAAATTGTGCTAGACACATACACGCCAACTGGAGTAAATCACACAGAGGAATGGTGTTCAGGAACCTGTTTTGGAAATGTGCTAAGTCAACTTTTGAACCACAGCTGCAGGCAGCATTAGCTGAAATAGACAAGCTAAAAAGTGAGGCTGGATTGGATTTGCGGAAATACCCTTTCAAACATTGGTGTAAAGCATTTTTTAGAACTGATGTCAAGTGTGACACAGTTGAGAATAACCTATCAGAGGCCTTCAATAGCACTTTACTCCAATGCAGAAGCAAGGCACTGATTCCCATGCTTGAGGATATAAGGGTGGCTACCATGAAAAGAATTGCAAAGAAAAGAAAGTATGTGCTACGATGGCCAGGTACATCCCTTACTTGAAGTGAATAATACAATACTAGCTTTAGCAGTACATAAAATGATATGTAGATTGACTCCAAGTATGTGTGAAATCCATTGTGTGATTCAATACCATGACAGATATTGAACTATGACATGAAATGCATGTTATTGGTTACTGGACTTATGAAGTGTTGTGTTTCAGGGACTTTTGGGCCTATCATTGTGAAAAAGTTGAATAAAAATATAGGAGCAAGCCAAGATTGGGAAATAGACTTCAATGGAGATGATGGGTACGAAATTAAAAAGGGCAGGCAGCAATTTAAAGTGAGCCTTAATGGAAGAAATTGTTCTTGCAGACGTTGGAATCTCTCTGGAATCCCTTGTGCACATGCTATATGTGCTATATTGGATAAAAGAGATGATCCAGAACTGTATGTGCACCCTTGTTACTCTAAAGAGATGTACATTAGGACTTATTCCTATACCCTACCACCTATTAATGGGGAGTTGTTATGGCCTACCACAGACGATGAAGAGATAATGCCTCCCTTACCTAAGAAGATGAATGGTAGGCCAAAGAAGAAGAGGGTACGAGAAGAAAGTGAACCACCAAGAAGTGCTACCCATTTAAGCAGAAAAGGTAGAATAATGAAGTGCTCCATATGTAAGGAAGAAGGACACAATAAAGCCTCTTGTCCTGGAAGTTCATCTGCATCTCAACCTCAGACTGCAGTCCATGAAAGTTCGGGAGGTACATGTGAAGTTCATGGAAGTTCTGAAGCTACAAGAGGAGGGAGGGGAAGAGGGGGGAGGGGAAGAGGGCTTACAGGGAGAGGGATTTCATCTACATCTCAACCTGACAGTGCAGTCCATGGAAGTTCTGAAGCTGGAAGTGAAGTCCATGGAAGTTCTTAAGCTAACAGAGGAGGGAGAGGAATAGGGCTTACAGTGAGAGGGAGATGGGAATCTGGCAGGAGAGGGGAGAGTGCAAGAGGGAGAGGGAGAGGTCGCATGGGTAGATCTGAGAGGGGCTTTGGTGTGCATTTCAATGCTAGCACTGGTCAGACAATTATAGATGTAAGAATTTTTACTAGTATATTGTATGTGATACATATAATTTTAATATATGTATAATTTTTACTAGCACTTGTATAATTTTAACCTCATGGCAGCCTGGACAGGCATGTGAAAGGGTCGTTGGTGAAGGATCCAGTTGAAGCAGAAGCTGA